GTTGTCTGTTTTATTGTATCTATTTTTATTGGTCAGTGTCCGAAATAAATATGATGACGATGAAGTTAAAATAATATTTATTGAATTAAGCTAGTGTTGAATGGTTTCTTGCTTAACACGCAGGCAAGAGACCATCAAAAATGGGCACGTCAATGATAGGCAAAGTGTGCTGAAGAAGGTAAAGAACTGGGGTTGTGCATCAAAAACAAATCTTAGGTTTCCCTTGATAATACTTCTTACTATATTCTGATTTGTTGTTGTTGTTGTTGTTGCCATTACAGTTTGTGAACTGGTGTATATCTGTTGCTGGACAGTTCCTGCTACTTAGTTTATACTGAATGCTTCCACGTGTGCAGCTATGTTCCCACATACTGATTCTGCGAAAAGAAAGAATGATCACAGAGGCATCGCTATCCCTTAGTATGACCTACCTTCCCTGGTGGCTGTGAAACTGAAATTATTTAGACACCTGTCAGATATCTTTTCTTATAAATCAGATGCTTTGTATTTGGAGAAAGTATCATTTTTGTATTATCATGGAGCACCAAAGAGACTAACTTTCGTCTTGTGTAAAATAGCCTCACGTTTTCTCTTTCTCCCTTCCTCTCTTAAAATCGGCTTGGATTACACAACTCTCCCAGTTTATCGTGGTAGTTTTTACTTCCAAATGCTAATATCTCATTTCCCCCCTGAGCTCTGAGTACCTATGAGCCAAAAACTGGTGTCAGCATTAAGAGTGTATCTTACAGTGTCTCAAAGATTTCAACATCTTTGAAATTCCTGTTTTTACCTTTGCAGACCTCTTCAGAATGGCCATACAGGGATAGATCTGTCAGTCCCAGAGTACCAAGAAATACGAGGAAAAATGATGTCTGGGCATGTGGAATATAATATTTTAGTAGTTACCCAACTGGCTGCATTCAAATCTGCCAAGCACAAACCTGAAGACAACGTTCAGTTTATGGTAACAAAATAATTTTAAAGTGTATTTTGTACTGAATTTTACAAAGAGTACACATCATAACAGTGGGAAACCAAACTTATTTCATTCCAGACAACATACTTTAAAAAATACTAAATAATACAGACCAAGAAAAAAGAAAACAAATTAAAGGGGGGAAAAAAGAAATAAAATACAAACCCCAAATCTAGTAAGATCATTTACCTATTTGTGGGTGGGAGAGAATAAGAATAAAGCTATTCATGATTTTTGAAACTTCATAGCTCATGGCAGTGCCACCAAAAGTCCTTCCCCATGAAGACCATCCAAAAGATGCACATGGCTGGTGCCATCTCTGGAGAAGAGTAGAACTTTCCATTATGGTATCAGATCTTGGTCCAGTTCTTAACAAAAGGATAAAATTGGATCTGGATTATATCAGCCAGCATATGATGACTAGATGTTCTATTACCTGGAATATTGTTGGGGGAACAGGAGTTTTCTCTGATATCTTGCATTCTATGTGAAAGGATTTTGGTTGGAGGAATACTCAATCCTGTAAGATTAAGTCCAAAATTTTAAATCCCAGTGTAAGAGTTAAAGCTGACTCAGTGTTATTCTTTACATAGTAGATGCTGTAACAATTAAGTCAACTAAAAGATCAAAGTTAACTTTCCCTAACTTGGGAGTCCTCCAGCTGTTTGGACTTTTAAAATTCCCCAGCCAACGTGGCCATTGCTAAGAATTCAGGGAGTTTAGCCAACCAGAATGCAGGAAGAGTGTAGAAAGCCATCTTTAATATTTTGTATTCAGTATTTGTTGATAGTTTTCCAGCAGTTGCCATAAGTTCCCAGCCCCTGTTCTCAAAATCACTTACTAATTCCTCCAAAAGTATTCTTTTCATTGCATTAAGTCGTCAATCATTGAGGGTTGAGAAATCAGTGGCCCATCATACTCTTTTGAAAAGACAGTCCAGGGAACGCGTGAGACCCTCTACAGTGATATCTTCTTGCAGTTTGCACTAAATCCCACTGTATCTGGAAACTGCAGGTTAGACTAATAATTTAAAGTCATAAGGTTGCCCAACTCACAGCAACTCTGGGCTGTCTTACAAATTTAAATTATAAATCTGTGCATATTAAAAACAAAACCCAGATAGATTTCATCAGTAAAGAAAATAATAAAAGAGGACCAGAATGGGGCAACAATCATACTATAAGTATATTAAACACAATCCTATTCAGATGGACCCCCCCCCCCCCCCCC